AATTAAACGTAGTAAGCAACTCCCACAATGGGGTTGCTGGCACTGTCTAGTTCAGTCCAAATCTTGCTAATTCAATGGGGTTAATTTTGAATACCATGGCAATCAGACGTGTAGCCCCAGGTAAGGGGGGTGGGGGGTTGCCCTGGCCCTTGGTGTACTTTTAGCTGATTCCGGGTAAGCAGTTGGAATGTCCTCCTTAAACTCCAGGTATGGGAAGGTGTTCTGGGATTGCGGATGCCTTCGCAGAGCTCTTTGCAATCCACGGTGCAGAACTATTTCCGTGGCTGAGGGATGCGGTTGGGTAGCGTCGCTGACATGATCAATGAGGAGTGGATGCAGGGCGCTCTCTGAGAAGCACTGTTAAGTGGCACCGTGCATGCAATTAGGATGCTGATGTGCTTAATAGCTTGGGTAGCGAAGTCCAGCATCAAAGCCAGCACGCTCTCCTTTTTCTCCCCTGAAGCTCCCCGAAGACAATTGGAGATTTAAGAGCTTCTTTGGGGTCCTTTTGATGCATTGTCTTACATCCTTTGTGACTCTGAAAAGTATCCTTTAGGTCCCACCTTGTCATCTTGTGGCTCCCTGCCTTTCTGTGAAAACGGGAGAGCTTCACTGTGAACTGTTCACTGAAGAGATTCTGAAAGAAGGGCAGAGTGGCTGGGGATAGGTGAGGTGGGGAACGTCGTAAAATGGTGCTTTTTTTCCACCCTCTTAAATTAGAACCATGAAGCTGAACTGACAGCCATTTTATGTATCCTTATGGGTTGGTTTTGAAATGGGAGGGGGGCATAGGAAGCACACAAAAATGGAACATTATCTAACCTGCCCTGATCTTGTAGAGAGCAGCATTTCCTGTTGTGCTCGTTAGGAAATGAAATCAACATTGAAATCAAAATGATTATCAGATTTTAGTAAAGTCTGGCAATGTCCATGTTGGAGAGGGGGTGTCATTCATAGCCCCTCCTACTGCATTTCAGAGAAATAGTATCAGGGAAAAGAGACTTTCTGAGCGATCCCTTAAATTCTTGTCATATTCTGTTGTTTCCTTTCTCCTCTCTCCCTTGCAGGAGGTAAAATGCACCCTTGCTGCCCCCTGGTAACTTTGGAACAGGACCTTCACAGAAAAATGCATAGCTGGATGCTGCAGACTCTAGCATTTGCTCTAACATCTCTCGTCCTTTCGTGTGCAGAAACCATCGATTATTATGGGGAAATCTGTGACAATGCATGTCCTTGTGAGGAGAAGGACGGCATTTTAACTGTGAGCTGTGAAAACCGAGGGATCATCAGCCTCTCTGAGATTAGCCCACCCCGCTTCCCAGTCTACCACCTCTTGTTGTCTGGAAACCTTCTGAACCGTCTCTATCCCAATGAGTTTGTCAACTACACTGGGGCTTCAATTTTGCATCTGGGTAGCAACGTGATCCAGGACATTGAGACGGGGGCTTTCCACGGGCTTAGGGGTTTAAGGAGACTGCATTTGAACAATAATAAGCTGGAACTTCTGCGGGATGATATATTCCTTGGTTTGGAGAGCCTGGAGTACCTACAGGTCGATTATAATTACATCAGTGTCATTGAACCCAATGCTTTTGGGAAACTGCATTTGTTGCAGGTGCTTATCCTCAATGATAATCTCTTGTCCAGTTTACCCAACAACCTTTTCCGTTTTGTGCCCTTAACGCACTTGGACCTGCGGGGGAACCGGCTGAAACTGCTGCCCTATGTGGGGCTGCTGCAGCACATGGATAAAGTTGTGGAGTTACAGCTGGAGGAAAACCCCTGGAACTGCTCCTGTGAGCTGATCTCCCTGAAGGATTGGCTGGACAGCATCTCCTACTCGGCCCTGGTGGGGGATGTGGTTTGTGAGACGCCCTTCCGCTTACATGGGCGGGACTTGGACGAAGTGTCCAAGCAGGAACTTTGCCCCAGGAAACTTATTTCAGACTACGAGATGAGGCCGCAGACGCCTTTGAGCACCACGGGGTACTTACACACCACCCCAGCTTCGGTGAATTCCGTGGCCACTTCGTCCTCTGCTGTTTACAAACCTCCCTTGAAGACCCCTAAGGGGACACGCCAACCCAACAAGCCCAGGGTGCGCCCCACCTCTAGGCAGCCATTCAAAGACTTGAGCTCCAGCAATTCTGGCCCCAGCATCGCCTACCAGACCAAATCTCCCGTGCCTTTGGAGTGCCCCACCCAGTGCTACTGCAACCTGCAAATCTCCGATCTGGGCCTCAACGTCAACTGCCAGGAGCGAAAGATCGAGAGCATCGCAGAGCTGCAGCCCAAGCCCTACAATCCCAAGAAAATGTATCTGACGGAGAACTACATCGCGGTGGTGCGCAGGAGCGACTTCCTGGAGGCCACGGGGCTGGACCTCCTACACCTGGGCAACAACCGCATCTCCATGATCCAGGACCACGCCTTCGGAGATCTCACCAACCTGAGGCGCCTGTACCTGAACGGCAACAGGATCGAGAGGCTGAGCCCAGAGCTGTTCTATGGCCTGCAGAGCCTGCAGTATCTCTTCCTCCAGTACAATCTCATTCGTGAGATTCAGCCGGGGACCTTTGATCCGGTCCCCAACCTCCAGCTGCTATTTCTCAATAATAACCTGCTGCAGACCATGCCCCCGGGCGTCTTCTCCAGCCTGACCCTCCTCAGGCTGAACCTGAGGAGCAACCACTTCACCTCCTTGCCGGTGAGTGGCGTCCTGGACCAGCTGAAGTCACTCATCCAAATCGACCTCCACGACAACCCTTGGGATTGCACCTGCGACGTGGTGGGCATGAAGCTGTGGGTCGAGCAGCTCAAAGTGGGCGTCTTGGTGGACGAAGTCATCTGCAAGGCGCCCAAGAACTTCGCTGAGACGGACATGCGCTCCATTAAGTCGGAGCTGCTGTGCCCAGACTACTCCGACGTGGTGGTTTCCACGCCCACGCCCTCCTCCATCCAGGTCCCCTCCAGAACCAGCGCGGTGACCCCCACCGTGCGGCTGAACAGCACCGGGGGCCCCGCGGGCTTGGGCGCAGGCGGAGGCGCGTCCTCCGTGCCCTTGTCCGTGCTGATCCTCAGCCTGCTGCTGGTCTTCATCATGTCTGTCTTCGTGGCCGCCGGGCTCTTCGTGCTGGTGATGAAACGCAGGAAGAAGAACCAGAGCGACCACACCAGCACCAACAATTCCGACGTGAGCTCCTTCAACATGCAGTACAGCGTG